AAAAAAAAAAAAAAAAAAAAAACAAGAAACACAAAATGCGAGGTGTATATACATATATTGCTTACGAAGAACACTCCTCTTCCTCCTCTTCTTCCTCCTCCTACTCCTCCTCTTCCTCCTCTTCCTCCTCCACGTCCCCCTCCTCCTCCTCTTCCTCCTCCGCTTCCACCTCTTATTCCTCCTCCTACTCTTCCTCCTCTGCCTCCTCCTCCTCCTCCACGTCCCCCTCCGCCTCCTCTTCCTCCTCCGCTTCCTCCTCTTCCTCCTCCATCATCATCAATCATCAGCCATCGTCATCAATCGTCATCAATCGTCATCAATCATCATCGTCGTCATAATGACTATAACTATGGATTACAGTTATCACCCTTCCTCTCCATGCAGATGGCAGTTGTGGGTTGCCGTGGCGTTTTCGATCCATTGAGGGAAACGATAAGCCATGCCTTTAAGAGTCTGAGATGAGATCCTTGACCTGGCTAGCGAGATCTAAAAATAGAAATACACAAAGTTCAAAAAGAAAGTAAGATAATCTATCAATCTTTTATTAACCTTTTCTCTGCTTATTTGAGGAAGAAGATAATCGTTCAATTTTCAGTTTTGCCCTTACCATCATCGTTACAACTATCACGATCGTCACCGACAATCTTCATCATCATCGCCGTGATCATCGTTTATTTTTATACCCATCGAAGGAGGGAGGGGAGGGAGGGGGAGGAGGGGGAGGAGGGAAGGGAGGGGGGCGATGCTGCCATACATTTGGTTTAGTCAGACAGTAGTTGACGTTTCGGAAAAAACGTTTATCCAGATCTGGATACCGATCATACCGTACCAGTTTATCTTCCTCTATAGACCTACAAGACCTTCGTTTATACATACAGCTATTAATAGAGATTCATTACCACGTCGATCTCCGTGTAGGTGGACCTGAGATGACCGTTTCTCCCACGTATTCCACTACCGAGCGACAGCGTAACTCTCTGCTCGTCTCTTCCTCCTCCTTCCCTTCCCCCTTCTCCCAACTTCTCCTCCTCCTCAACCTCTCTCTCTCTCTCTCTCTCTCTCTCTCTCTCTCTCTCTCTCTCTCTCTCTCTCTCTCTTGTGATCCACCTTCACCTTTCCCATCAACAAAGGAACTTTCTGCATTCGCTTGAATGCAAGCTGCAGTGTTTGCATAAATAGATGCATCCATCCATCCATCCATCCATCCATCCATGTACTTTCAAGATTCCATTACCAATCAATCTCCTCCATTCATCCATCTCGTTCGCTCAGAGCTTATCCATGCACCTCATCCATCCAACCCATCCATCAATGGCATTCATCTATCGCATCCATCCATGTACTATACTTTTCTTTTTTTTCTTTTTTTCTTTTTTTTTTGTAGGTAGTATACTTACTGGTAGTTAACTAGTTTGCAGGTTTTGTGGTGAGGACGATCTGCGTGAGCTCGTCCGTCTCTGAGAGGTTGAGGCCCCTGAGAGCCTCAAGATTGGAGCGGAGGTTATAACTCAAGGCGACACGTGTGCGGAGGTGGTCATGAATATGACAAAGCTTGACAAGTGTGGTGGCTGCCTTTCGCTGCACGTCTTTCCTTGCGCTGGCGCCGCGAACATAGTCCTCCCGCCTCTCGTTCAGCAGGAGCGCATTTGCCAGCTTGCCGTCTTCGGCGACGTCCATCATGAAGGACCAACCCCATCCTCCATCCCTTCCACTGCGAGAGTACGCCGAACCCCCACCTCCTCCTCCTATTTTGATCGCACCCCCCTCTCTAGCATCTGCGTCGCTTTCTCCTCCTCCTCCTCCTCCCGCCCATGTCGCCCCTCTCCCCCACGACCCTCTCACTGCAGGTATGGTGGCCAGCGAATCCGCCGCCTCCATATCTACTAGCGCCAGGACCAACGTGTCGATGAGAATGTACAGACAATGGATGATCGAGGACGCGCGAGTTCTGTCGGTCTCGTCGGACGATGCCAAGAATATCGCCGGTCCCGATACCAACGGCTCGTTCAGGTAGTCTTCCCACGTGGTCGGCGTGTGGGACTGCAAGGAGTAGAGCTTCCTCCATGCTGTCCACAAATTGCCCGCCATCTCTTGCATCTGCTGCACGTCCCCTCGGTAATGCTGTCGCCCCTCGATCAGATCCTCTTTCCACAGATTGAAGCTGTCGTTCAGATACCGTTGGATGAACGATGCATCCGGATCTCCCGACGCAGCTCCCATTGCCGCCCCCCCCCCTCCCCCTCCCCCTCCCCCTCCCTCTCCTCCTCCTCTTCGATACTGCTGCTGCTGCTGCTGCTGCTGCTGTTGCTGACGCGCGGATACAAACTCCGCCGTCGCCGCGCCGGCGGCGGCGCCGAATTCCGCGCCGGCAGGCTCCAGCTCGGAGAACCGGAAGATGAGATCGAGGTTGGCCTCTCTGGAGAAGAAGTGCGGGAAGTTGGAGGCGAACCATAGAATCTGCCGAATCATTTTGCGCCGGGCTATGGACAGTCTCCCCCACGCTAGCTGATACATGGCCAGTTCCTCGCGGTACTTCCTTTCCCGCTTGTGCTGCTCGGACAAGCTGAGTCGAAATCCTCGGTGGAAGTCCGCCTCGAACGTCTGCACGAGCTTGTGCAAGATGCGAGTGAAGTTCATGTGCTCAGTCAGCGCCTGCAGCTGCAGCAGGAGGTCGTAGATCGGACTAGACTGCCATTGAAAGAAGCAGCTGGTGAAGAAGCGGGGCAGACGACGCGCTCTCATCGTGGCGTCGTGCAGAGCGTCTATCACTATGAAGAGCATGCCGGAGGAGGGGATCGAGCGGAGGAAGTCTTGAGAAAGAACCAGCTTGATGAAGGCGAACCTCTCCAAGCTGTCCATGGCGTTGCGCGTGATCACTCTGTAGTCCTCCTCGTCTGCATTGAGGCACAGGAAGACCATCGCTAGGCGGACGCGCAGGGGGACCACCTTGAGTCGCAAGGCATTGATCTCCCTCTCGTAGCTAAAGTTGTCCACCATCCGATTGACGCGGAAGATGCTGTCGGGGAGAGGATCGGTGAGTCTGACCATCATGTCCAGGCCGCGGAGCTTGCGAAGGAAGAGATCCCGACAGATCTCGTCGGCGCAGAACTCGTTCAGGATGCTCAGAGCTAGCACGCGAGACTCCACGGTGTTGCTTTCCAGCTCGGAGGCGCTCATCAGCGCCTGGAGACTCGAGATTCGGTAGCCTTGGCGCAAGATTTCCTTCTTGCTGTTGCGCGACTGGTTGTCATCGCGCGGATCGCCGGGTCCGGCGAAGATCTCCTCCGTCGCCGCGCAGACGATCGTCAGCCATGGCCACGTCTCCTTGTAGGCTCGGCGAGACTGAATGGTGTGATAACTCTCGGCAGGACCGAGGGATCCGCCGGTCGGCCCTGCTGCTGATGATGAGGAGATGGCGGGGAGTTTCAGATTGTCCAGGACTGAGCCTAATACAGCCTCTACGCGTTCCGTGAGAGAAGGGCGTCTCGGGCCCAGACCTGTCGGCCGCGGAGGAGGGGAAGGGGATTGAGATCGCCCCCCAACCCCGGCGCCGGTGCCCGCGGCGGCGCTGTCATTTGCCACTGGGGCGGACGTCGAGGGAATGGCTGCTGCGCGCCAACGGCGCGCTGCTTCGGCTGCTGCCGTCGAGACTGCAGCACTCGATGAACCAGCAGCGGTGGCAGCAGCAGCTGCCTCCCCTCCTCCTCCTCCTCCTCCTCCTCTTCCTCCTCTTCCTCCTTCACCAGGCCTCGATGCAACAATCACTCCCGCCGAGATCCCATTCCCCGCCGCCACAGCGGCGCCGTTGCCAGGCATAGCTGCGCCTCCCGTGCGGGGCATAGGAGGACCCGCATCTAGCATTTGCGCGCTACCAACGGCGCCTGCAGCAGCGGAAGCAGCCTCTGCGCTCGTCGTCGGATTGCGGTCAACCGTCGACGCTGACCGCAAGCGATCTAGGAATGACGACCGACGTCGCATGGGCGGTGACTGCTGCTGCTGCTGCTGCTGCTGCTGGTCGCCGTCCTCCCCTCCGCCACGAACCGCATTTGACTGCGACGACGACAGCTGAGCCTGTTGCAGCTGCTGGTGCTGTACGTGTCCTCTTTGTCCCCCTTCCTCCTCTCCCATTGCACCTCCCCGCTCCTGCGCCGATGGCGTTGACGTCATCCCCCTGGACGTAACCATGGACGGATACCAACCACCACCACCACCACCACCACCACCACCAGCAGAAGACGAAGAAGACGAGAATGCCGGGAACTGATCTGGATCGTCCGATGGAGTTGTCCTCATCCATCGCGGAAGAGTGCTCAAGACGCGGTGCCTGGGCGCCGTGCCGTATGCAAACGTTACGCTAGTGTTTGCCGCCATCACGACGGAGAGGAGTGCTTTCGCCGCCACTTCCTTCTGCTCCGCCGTCGTCTGTTGCGACTGTATGATCTCGACTAGGTACATCGTGGCTGCCCGAATATACGAAGCCGACAGGTTCTCCATCTCGTCATTTTCCTGCTGGCTTCCTCCCCCCGCCCACACACCCCCAGCGCCCGCGCTCTTCCGCCGTCTCCCCATCACCTTCGACGTGATGTCGTCCATAGATTGGTTCCATGGCAGTCTCCAGGATGAAGACGATGACGGAGCTACGACAAGGGGATCGGCCGATCCGCCGGAGATCATCGTGATCGTACGGAGATTGCGGCGGCGGCGATGGTGGCGGACATGGCGGCGGAAGTCTTCGTCGCCGCCGCCGCTACCG